CGCTTACACCTTGGTAAGAGGCTCCTTCATCAGTACCAGCGACTACGCAGCGTTGAATCAAGCTTCATTGCACTGCAAAGGCTCAGCGAATTCTAGGATTTCCATTTAAGTATGAATTTTCCTTTTAAAATGCTACAACTACCTGGTTCACATTTGACGCTGTAAATGTACAAAATTTCTTAGGTTCAAAGAATGTAATATCGCTAGAAATTAGAAAGTAGCTTTGTAGCTGTGACCAGCCTTCGAAACACTTTCAAATTTTCCAGTCTTTCTCCTGCCAATATGAGTGAAATTAGGAGCCGTTCTAGTTAATGATATAATGTTGGTTTGCACATTAAAAAGTGGCCTTTCAGATAATTTTTTAGGACAGGGCAAATTACCGTGATTTTCTAGGATGATTTTATAGTTATGGCCAGCATTGAATAGAAAATGCATGTTTATGTAAGCCGCTGATTTTGAAGTGACTAGCCTCGCAGTCGAATTTGTCATCAGTTTGTCATCACTTTATGAATGCCCTAAACATATTTTCGTTCGCAAGTACACACCTGAGAACGAACACTGCGAGCCAGAACGGATAAAAGTCTAGCAGTGGTAGAATTGAGAATACCGTTGAACATGGTTCCGTAAATCTGGTCAGCCAGGCCCGCAAAGTAGCAAATTTTTTTAGTGGAGTTTGCTTATTTTCATGGTCATCTGGAGGGACCGCGAAGCGCAAGGAAGCTGACATTTTTCTTCACCTGCTCCTGCAGTTAGATCACCGGCTTTGGCTAGTGATTTGATTCTAAGACCGGTGTACAACAAGCAATGGAAGGCCTATTGATCTGCCATTTCCTTTTCGAAGAAGGTGTTAAGGCTCTGGTATTGTAAGCGGGTAATGGAAGCCGCTGATTTCGAATATGAAAATTCCACTTCACTGTGACGCTACTTTCCAAGGTTATCCCAGGTAGACCTTAATAACCAAATTTCCAGCATCTGTCAAAAATGTAATTACACCGTCAGAAAAGCTAAAAACACTCGTAAAAGTTGTGTTATGGAATCAGCGTGCGCAAAAATCTTAGTACACGATTTTTCAGATTTTTTGAGAAAAATTTTTTGTCAGATGCCATATTTCACAATAGATCCACTTGCCAGAAGTTCATAAGGTATCATCCTACAGTAATGTTCATAAGTATCATCCTACAGTAATGAAGAGCGTTCGGTGATTCGCTCGATACTACAAATCAAAGTTGACCTCGCTCTACAGAATGGTGCCTCAAGCTCGTCGAAAGGCATGAAAGCAAGGGAGTTTTTAACGATCAAACAGTGTTCACATTTTTTGGGACACCCTGTATATATAAGGTCGGTTCAAAAGTTGTTTCCGTATTTTCAGCCTGTTATAAAAACACGTGGAGTAAAGGCAAGAAAATGCTTTAGGCACTATCAACACAGTTTCTTCCTCTTTCCATTAGTCATGTTCGAGTCCATTTGCTTTGGTGAGCTCTGAGATAATTGCCGAAATTTAAAACCCGTAGTTTTTACCTTGCCCAAATTTGGCAATTTTTGTAATCTTCACTCTAAACTTTTGGAAAAGCTTTGACAGCAGTTAGGTAGCGCAAACAATGTACAATGTAATGCAATTTTCTCGCATCTCCAATTAGCTCCATAGTATTTTTCAGGATAACTTTTCCAAAAGCCTTCATTTTTGCGAAGTCGCGAAATACACAAAGGCTCCAAACATTAGCAAATCCTCGGGATTTGAAACTTGCAAAGGTCGATTATGATAACACACTAATTTTACAAAGCATCAGAGTGTTTGTCGCTTTGAAAAATCAAATCTCGCATTCTACGGGTACAGCATGAGCGGGTTAAAATCCAGGAAATTTGGTAACTTTCTCACCGAATACTCAACAATTTGGGAAGAAAAAAGTCCTATCAGAAAGGAGAGAGAAAGCTGCATCGAATGACACCTTAGTTGTGCTCTATTTGATGTTCTGTGAGTTTTGGGATGACCAAAAGTGGAATTTTACAGCATCAGAAATATATAATTTTGAAAATTTTGGAAAGCCAGCTATGGATGTCAAAAAATTTCACTGCATTGCACTTTATTTACACTATCTAACTGTTATCAAAGCTTTTCCAGAAGTTCAAAATGAAGATTTTGAAAAATTGCTAAAGTTGAGTATGATAAAAATTATGGGTCTGTAATTTCGGCAGTTAAAAAAGCACCAAAGCAAATGGTCCCAAAACATGACTGTAGCAAAGAGGAAGAAAAACTTTGTCTGATAGTTCTTAAAGCATTTGCTTGCCTTTACTCCACGTGTTTTTATAATAGGTGAAAACCCCCCCCCCCCTCCCCTCCCCCCCGAAAACGGGTTGCGAAGTTTTTAGAAGTTTCTACATGGGTTATAAAATTGTGCAAATGACTTGTCTGCACTTGTAGATAATTTAAAAAATTTTAAAAATTTTCTAAAAATTCATTTAAGCCTTAGGAAAAATTTTTTGGGCTATATATATGTATATATATATATATATCGAGATAGAATATCACTCTCTCCTTAAGGCTATATCTCACCTCAGCGCAACGAGGTGCAAGGAAACCTCTCGGCAAGAGCTTTAGACGACGAGCACAATTACTCCACAATCTGCGCGGCTTTGCCCTCAGCTCTGACGGCTGGCGGCGGCAGCAGTCGGCTCCCGGGTACCACTTGCACGCCTCCCGTCACGACTTTATAAATACCCTAATTATATTTTGATACGCAAGTAGCCAGCTGAGAACAAAGGTGCTTCTTCTTTTACTTACTCTTTATTAGATTGGCTCGAAAGCTGGGACAATTTTAGACGAAATCTGCTATTTCTCGAAATTTAATGCATATACATCTGATAGAGGTACCATTCGATAGAGCAAAGCAAGTTCTACAAAAGGTATGCGAGAGCTTGCACCAGCTTCGACCCACCATAAGTTGTTTGCACCCAAAACCTGAGTCGTACTGAAATTCAAAAAATCGAGAAAAATTCATATCTTTGTTAAAACAAACATCCTACGGATCTCCACCTTGCTCACCTCGGAGTCCCATCTACGTTCAAGCAGCCAGCGGTACATGATATTCGCTGAGGTCCCTTCGACACTTCTTAAGACTTCGCATTACTTCGGCTGCTTCTAGTATCTTATCTTGCCTGCACTTCCTGAGATCCTCCTGCAAAGCTGTTCTGCAAATTGGCATTGGCTGTCAGTTGCTCGAGATGGGTTGCATTCAGTTCCTGCCTCAGAAATCTCTTCTTTCGAGCAATTCCTTGGTGGTCTTCGGGATGCGTTCCAAGTTCTTCTCGGTAGTCGCTGAAGCGCATTCTCCGCAAACTCGCAGTCCTCTCAAAAGCCGGTCGCATTTGTAAGTTAGGTCCTCCTCGATGGGTCAGTCACAACTTGATATGAGCTCTTCGAACCCGTTACCGTCATAAACGACTTTTTTCCTCCTTGCGGCACTGTGGCAGACTGCTTTTCCAGCATTCGACTGAATCATGCCTTCGCTCGAAAGAGGCGGTGATCAGAGCCATTGCAGAAGGATGGGCCTACTGAGACATCAAGCAAGCTCCACCTTCGGTTGATGAGAATCTGGTTGATCTCCGCATGAGTCGTTCCGTTGGGATTTTTCAAAGTCCTTCGGCGGTGTTCTTTCTTCATGAAAATTTCAATGGAAAAGTCGTGCGACGGAGAGAAGCCCAACGAGATGGTTGCCTCGTTCCGGAGCCCATATCCAGACTTCCCGATCCTATATTTTTTCTAGTGGCATCCCGATTTTCGGATTGAAGTCGCTTACAACGAACTTGTAGAAGGACTTCTCGTTACGTGAAAGTCGGCATTTGTGGAGATTGTCCTGGCGTTGCAGGTGCAGAGCATGAGGAGTTTATGGCGTGTCGTCCTGGCAGGCGTGTCGTTTTTGTCCGATCCGAAAGGCTCCCTGAGTACCCTGACACTGTTCTTGCTACCCGCAGGCGGATCCGATAAGCAGGGTCTATTTCTCTTCTTTTTGTTAACCTAGTAAAAAAACTTTCCTCTACAAGAGCAGATATACTAAGCCTACTTTTGATTTCCACGGGGCGATCGCTGACCCGGGATGCGGGGAGGAACGCCTAGCGACCGGAAAAAACCAGACGGCGGGTGATCTGGCTTGGCCGGCTTTTGGCGAGGCATTAGGCCGAAACCGGAAACGTTGAACTCCTTCAGAGCTTGAGAGGCCCTACCAGAGTATACACTCGGCTGTGCATCGCAGTTCGGCACCCAGTGTCACCCCCAGTTGAGGCGGCCGACCATCGTGCGGCCTTATTTTTTTTTTGAAGAAGACAATTCCGAAATCGAAGCGAGGATTAAGCTTTTTCATGTTTTGTTGTCCGCAAAAACGTGTTTTTTGCATATCCTTTCTTTTCCATAAATATAAAACGTCTTTTTATATTACAGAATCGCTTCGTCCTCGTCCTCCATCACGAGCTGTCCTCAGAAAGGACTGTTACTATCATAACAATCACGGAGATCGCTAATTTTTCTCATTTTTGAAAAAGATTTGTTTCCTGCTTTCTTTTCTCATTTCTTTTCACCACTCATAATGTTTGCTCGTTCGTTCTTGACTACCGTTTCGTTTCTGATGAAGGAACTCCGACTTGAAGATATGTACACGAATGGATGTATTGATGTGTAACAGCTTCAGCCTGACTTACATAACGAAATAGCGCTCGCTCTCAAACCCTTCTCCAAGCATGGACCTTTTTTCATTGTGAGAGCAAACCAGATGCAAGAATTTGGCGAGAGCAAGATGTACTATGAAAATCATTAAAAAAATCAAAATTGCTAGTTCGCGCCGCTCATAACTGCATGTGGGCGGCTGTAGCGCATGCAGCACAGTTACGGCACAGTTCCAGCACAGCGCGAGAACTATGCTGGAAATTTTTCGGAACTTTCGCATCACTATGAGCCCAGTCTTAGCAAGATGAAAATCTGAGGTGTAAACAAATCTCCCTGGAAAAGAAGACTACTTTGAGCACCGTAGACGTGTCGATGGGAGCTCCTTGGCTAATCGTAGTTTCTCATCTAAAAGTACAAGGTTCCTCAATGGTTTATTTTGTAAGCACATATCGTAATTTTGCTTTGGATTTTTCTAAAGTGTTTACGCCGACCAATCGTTTGTAGTGTGCGACAATAGGAAAAATGTACTTTTTATTTATTGAAATGAGCAATAAATTATCTTTTATTGATAGTGTTATAGAAGAAACACACATATATTGCAACCCAATTCTCATACACTTCATTTGAATTCTTTGAAGCCCACGGTCGCCATTATCGCCTGTCTTAGCTGTTGCGGAGAGATGGATGTCATGTTATCATTGCGAAAGCAGCGCTCATCTCCTCTCCTCTCCGACCCCGCCCACCCCATGGACGAGTGACTTCCACGGTCAGAGCGCGCATGACGCCATGCTATACATAAGGGTCCCGCAACGAACCTGTGTCTTCGCCATTGCGGGCTTCGCGTTCACTCGTCCGTGGGGTGGGCGGAACCGGAGAGGAGAGGAGATGAGCGCTGCTTTCGCTTTGAAATTTCGGGGGTTAGAAGTGGGAGAGAAAGATCGAACTTTGGCCCATAGGTTCCATTATGGGGCTCCTACCCTGTGACCTCGTTTTGCCACGGGTCTCATTCCGCCGATCCACTGCCTTTAAGTCGTTGCACTGTTCACACATGTTCGTCAGTTGTATCTCGAGTTGTGCTTAAAGACTTGGTGCTCAAATGGGTTCAAGTAACTTACGTCGAATGCTGATGTGGACAAATCAGTGTCACGATGACTTTGTCTCTGTTTTAGTTCCTGTTCACTTCTCATTTTCTTTATGCTTGCTGAAAGCAACAACGAAGTTTTTTGCTGTTATCGTTGTATGACTCTCAATTCCTGAATCCTTGAAAAACTTCGCATCGCGTTCAATATAGCACTAACAGTAATCTTTGATTCAACTGGATAGGCGGCTGAAAGGCGACGTTTTGTGACCTAATCAAGGACGCTCGCGCCCGCGACGCAGTCTGCGTCTCTCTCACACGCGCTTACTCTGATCATTTCCCAGCTTTAACTAACGAAGCCCCGCCTTCCAGCCGCCAATCTGGTTGAAGCAAAGGGTAAAAATGTGGACCTAACATTCCGATCGCGGGAGTGCTGTATACAAGACAGCTGAGTAGATTATCTGTTTGAAAGCAGTGGCTCGGCAAAACCAAACATCTCGAAATTTTCATAAAAGGTTGCCTGCACTCTTAACATGAGAACGGTGCAGGTCCGAGCGCACAACATGCTAGCCCTGCCTAGAAAATTGATCCTAAACCCGCGCACACAAGCCTCTCTTACACGCGCTCGGACGAGCTTGCAGTATTCCTCACACCGTGAGGCGGCACGCCGCAATGCTATGAACATGAGGGTCCCAAAACGACTCTACGTCTTTAACCGTGGCTGGAGCGTTCCGCTCGTCCAGATCTAAAATAGGCCATGAGAAATGCTGGTTTTCGCCATTTTCGCGTTCTCCAGAGTGAATTTTCGGATTCAGCGCGTCGAATCACCCAGGTAAGCGAGAAAACCACAGGTCAAGGTTTGCCGAGCCACTGCCTTTAATATAGTGTACTTGCACCGCAGGTAAATCCAGTAAAACCTGCGCGTAAACAAGTAGCTATATCTGTGACGCAGGTCATTTGCGCCCGCTAAATGCCGGCATTACTGGCTGGCTATTTGTTCATGCGCAAATTCTACCTCGTTTCACTTGCTGTGCAAGCAACTACATCGAGCGGAAAATCTACTCAAATGATAGTAGTCTTCATGATGGAAATGCGAAAGCAGACTGGCACCAAAAGGAAGCCACTTCGTTGAAAATGCACTATATGCGTGACGCACAATGGACACCAAGTTTGCCGCTATTATTTGCTTGTTATCCAGGGATGCGGAGCGATTTAATTGTCATTCTTATCTTAAACTATGCTGTTGTCCTTTCAATGTTGGACAAGGCCGAGCTACAGTCTCGTTTTTTGATGACATATCTAAAGTTAATTAAAATGCTGAAGAGTGTAAATGAAACAAGTAGATGCAAGAATGTGTATTCCTTCAAAGTTATGTATCAAACGCAGTCATATATTCTAAACTCATCACATCCATCCTCTCCCCATTCGCCGACGAGCTTTCCATAATAGCACCTATGGACTGTCTGGTCTAACAACTCAGGGGCAGGCTCAAATTGACGGGTGCAGGTTTCATCTGTAATCGGAAGATGTGTCGTTGTTTTCTAAACAAAAACCATAATTTTGTACCGGTTTTGCACACTTTAAAGATCCCGTTTTCCATGCTTCGCCCATAGTAAACCTGAATAAGTTTGTAAGCAGTGGTTGTGGTAAAAGTCACTGTAAAAACAGCTATTCAGAAAACCTTCATATTTAATAGCTCAGTTACCGAGGAGGGGCTAGAACATAACAAAGAGCGGCGAACATAGGCGAAAAGGAACTTTTTACAGCAAGCATATTCATTTTATTTCAAATGCGCTTTCTTTCTAGGCAAGTTTGTTTATTTGCATTTATATCCTGTTACGTGTAAGCAGATTTGCTTGTAAAGGTGCGCGGGGTAAGATGTAAGAATATTTCCAGATTCTGTGATCAAATCCCTTGTTTCCTTTCACCATATAGGTTGCGACAATACAGAAGTAGATAATAGGTCACTCCAGAAACGATTCGACTGCAATCGCACATTCACTACACTTTCTTCGCGTTTATATTCTATGTGTCCTGCAACAAACTAAATCACCGCACAGTATTCAGATGTGCTTTCCTAAATTATACATGCGAACGAAGAAAAATTGCAGCTTACCGTGTGGTCAAACAAAAAGAACTTTCTTGAAAGAAAAGAGTATTTTGAAAATTACGTGTCTATAAGTAACAACGAGTTAGGGCTCCCTTGCGCTTAGCATCTCCCTCAACGAATGCGCTACAAAAAACACAACTGCAAAAAACAAGTTTGTTGCTAAATTTTGTTTTGTGGTTATTCTCAGCTCTCTTGGTGTCCTTGATAAGATGAGCTGAAGATCGAAACTGGTGAATAAGGCTTGCTTATTGTGTTATCAGGCGGGTGGAAAGAATTTTGCATTTGCGACAGTGTACCTTCATTTGTGTCGCTGATTTGGTGCGTACTGGCACGCCAATCGCAAGAATCGCTTGAATATATTTAGTACTCGATTTGACATCTTTATGTCCACTTGTTTCATCGTTTAGACGCCAACTTAAACGCTTAGTACCCGAAAACTCCTACAAACAGAGTGCACCGTAATGGAATGTGTTACAATGCTCACCTCCTTTTTATGATGGTGGTATCGGAGCTTAGGGAGGTTGGGTGGGATTTGAGTTACCAAATCATTGTCATGGATGACGCGGAATGCGTAGTCGATCTGCAAAGAGTAAAAACCAGTTACAGTATTAGCTCCCAAATTAGAGCTTGTTTAAAACTTTATACTAAGAGAGTCTAAATGCATAGTTTCGCTTTTTGCTTTGCATAGTAAAAGAAATAAACTCGGTTTGTAAAGACTTTTGAATTTCAAGACGTGTGAGGCTATGTCTCAAATCTCTTCTTTACTTTTCTCTATTTTTACATGTTCTAAATAGAATATTCATGAGCGCTACAGTCTTGTAAAATTGTTTCCTTCTCTTCATTTCCAAATGACCGCTGATAGAATAATGTGCGGGAACAGATGCTGCTTAAGCTTCAAAACTTTTTGACATACAGATGTGCTTGTAGTCGTACACCGTGTTGTCATACCTTATCATTGAGCCTCTCAGCAAATATCCGGTCGCCTGTCCTGGGCTGGCCGAACGTCATTAACTTTGTTCTTGACCTTTCTGCATCTCCAGTCTCCAGTAAATAAGAAGCTGTCAGAGATGCCAATGCACCTCCCAGCGAGTGCCCAGTTATCTGAACTCGCATAATAAGGAAAGTTTTCTTTTCAAAGCGCGTACCCAAATATCAAAGTTTTTGTATTTTTTATCGTGAATCAGTTTTTTAACATCTTGATACATACTGCTCTTAAACAAGTTGTTGAAAGCTAGAAGGAAGTATTGGTTCACCGACGCACCACCAAACCATTCTTTCTAGAAAAACTTTTTTCGCTCATACAAGCATTTTGTGATATGCTTGACTTACAGTTAAGAAGGGACGTACAAGCTCCTTGATAAGCTGCCAATTATTGTCTGTTCCTCTGTAAAAAATGAAAGAATGGTCATATTTTTCAAATGGATTTGATGTCAGATGCTATCGTCGTTATGTGTTTAAAAGATAGAGATCAGAGGTACTTTCGAATCAAGCTAAGCGGTATGTCAAGACTAGTGCCCTCACCATCGCCTTTTTGAAAACAAAGTTATCCTCGCCTAATAATTTTACAAAGTCTCTCTCGATACATAGCGCATACACAAAATAACATGTTTTGACAACATACAAAAACTGAAACGAATTTTCGCTTATCCCCGTTGTTGAGGCGCACTTATAAATAAAGGTAGATTGGAACGTGGTCTCTATTATATATCGAGTTCTTCTCTTAAAAAAGCAACGAAAATCATTGCTGCCCAAGGATAGATTTTTTGCCTGCGAGTTGTTCATGATAGCAACATCGGAAACTTTTGTGAACTCGCGTACTGCGCTAAACAAGCAACTGCTTATTTAAATCTGCATTCGAATTGCTTGGTGAAACCTACAAATTCCAGCCTGCTTCCAAGATTGCCGCTCCGGGCCCTGGGCGAACCTAACAGGCGTTAGACACTTGAAACTATGTCTATGGAGCCGTATTTGTTAATTGTTTGAATATTGTCATTGAACATGTTATGAAATTGTCAAGGTAACCTGAAACTCAGCACTATTGCTTTCTCTTTCTTGAGCAGAGCCGTATATGCCGAACAGAAGACTTTTACAAAACCAAAGCCGCTGCAGTCCGCTCTGTAGAATTTCACGACCTGAACAATATTTGGTTGCAAATCATATCTGTTGGAGAAAAGAAAATTCTACTTTTCTCCATACTAGCAACTACATTTCTCATCCCCAACGAATCCCTAAGATGCGTGACGATTTTTGCACCTCATAGCAGTTTGAGTAAAAAGTGCGGACTATCAATGTAAAAGTTTGAGTTTGAAGATGCTTTAAATTTTATGATAGTGTCTATATACTAGGTCACTCCGAAAGTAATTTCGCTTTTTTCAAACGGACGCCGCATTTGAAGAAGGAAGGCTTCTAAGAGATCTTAAAAGCATGAATAAGATGCAGACTTTCTTTCACTTTCTAAAGGTTATGAAAATGTTGCAAAACAGTCAACGAGCTTTCAGAAAATAACCAAAATCTGCGATCCATGCTTTTTGAGATGGTCAAGTTTCGCGATTTTTTGAAACTTTCATATCAGTCCTCAGAAGGAGTTCAAGCAACGGTTCGATAGAGTAAATTTTACGGAATTCACTGCTGCTTTTTTCTCCTTTTCATAGCTTGTCATACATTTTCAACAGAATTTTAACTGATGCTACCGATTTTAATACTTGGGCAGCTAAATCCTCGTAGAACATCAAGAGAAGAGCAGCTCGCGCACTATTCAATTCAGCATTTACTCCTCTTTCTAACAGATGTTTTTTGTTTCCGATTCGCTTAGTTTCCGGGGAGAAATCATCACAACTCATTTTTTTAGCGAGCCCCAGGCTGCATCCGAAAAACTCGAAATTTGGTATTTCGAACCCGTAAACCCTCATCTGCTTTGTAAATTAATGCTAGTATAATACCATTTTGGTAGTCTCAAATTAAAAAAATTATGTTTGATGCGATTGTGGCTGAGAAGGGCCTGTCAAAATCCGATGGTTCTGTTAAAAAATCTTTTAAAAAATTACGACGAGCTGCGAGAAAGAGAAATAGTAACACTGTATTCTGTAAGGTTTCTCTATCGAACCGTTACTTGAACTCAATCCGAGGACTGATATGAAAGCTTGAAAAAATTGCGAAACTTGACCATCTCAAAAAGCATGGGTCGCAGATTTTGGTTATTTTCTGAAAGCTCATTGAATGTTTTGCAACATTTTCATAACCTTTAGAAAGAGAATGAAATTCTGCATCGAATGCTTCCAAGATCTCTTAGAAATCTTTCTTCCATCAAATGTGGCGCCCGTTTGAAAAAAGGAAATTACTTTAGGAATGACCTAATAAATGCGTACAATGCTATTAGGTTGTCCAAAAATTAATGCAGGTTTTGAATTCCAACCGCAATAAGTCATACACTTCTCACTTCTAAATGGGTTGCAAAGCAATATTCGATGGAGCAAGGCAAGCTCTACAAGATGGCAATCTTGCTTTAGCAACAGCTCTTATCCACCACGAGCTTTGAGCCAGAAATCAAAAAGATTCGACTGCCCGAAAAATTGAGAAAAATCGTAACTCAATCTCTAGATTGCTCACGTAAACCCAATTTACGTATGACATCCATATACGCCGTTGCCGTACTTTTTCTCTGTTAGAAATCAAGAAAACGGAAATTTTCGTGCATTTGCCAAAGTGGTGTTGTGCCGTCCCCACATAAGTAAATGTATACTTTAAAACTTTAAAAGTACAAACGTAAATTTTTAGCTCTCTACAAGCTTTAGTTCTCGAGAAATTTGAATTTTAGCTTGGACCACCTGACTAGGGAAAGCTATATTCGATATCTCTCGAGAACTAGAGCCGTTAGAGAGCTGAAAATTTACGTTTATACTTCTACAGGTTTGTAGTATACATTTACTTATGTGGGGACGGCACAACACCACTTTGGCAAATGCACGAAACTTTCCGTTTTCTTGTTTTCTAACAGAGAAAAAGCACGGCAACGGCGTATATGGGTGTTTTAAGTTGATTGGGTTTACGTGGAGCAAGTTAGAATTTTTGCAGGATTTTTATGAACTGAGTTACGATTTTTCTCAATTTTTCCGGCAATCGAATCTTTTTAATTGAAACTCGTGGTGGATCAGAGCTGTTGCTAAAACAAGATTGCCATCTTGTAGAGCTTGCTTTGCTCTATCGAATGTTGCCTTATAACCTATTTCGAAATGAGAAGTGTATGACTTATTGCGGTTAAAATTCAAAACCTGCATTAATTTCCGGACAACCTAATATATTGGGTTGTTCCGAAGGTTCTGTCCGACTTTCAGTTGCATTGTTTTAACGCACCTATTCTCTTAGAGTTTTGCAATTATTGCAGTATTATTAGCATCATCTAGAAGCAATTTTCCTGCACTTTCCTTTTTTAAATCTCGATGAAACAACTTCTCAGTGATGAAATCTCAAGCCTCGAAGTTGAGTCGCCAAAATGCAGTCAAAAATTCGAAAGTCAACTCAGTTAAGGCGACAACAACCTATGTATAGAGGTTGATGTATCCGATATCGCATACGTTAGAGTGAAGCGAGAGCAAGCACGGACCATTAGTCAATTAGCTTTTTTCGTTTGTGACAGCAAGGAGAGGCCAAATATCCGAAAGCCGGCATAGTTGCTCGCCCGAAGGAGGGCTCAAATAATGGCCGTTTTTGATTTGCTCATAAAAAATTTTTATGCAACAAAGACAACATGAATTCTCTTTAGGCATAAAAGGATTTCTCAAATGTAGGTTATCAATGATGGCAACCGAAAATGCTCTCTATCCTTACAGGCAGTAGCATTAGCTTATCAAAATTGACTTTTAGAGAAAACCTCGCAAAATCCTTCGAATTTTCTCTTCTTTCTCACTTCCCTTTCTCACATAGCAATTTATATTTATGACAGCCATAAACTCGCTTAACCCAACAAAATTTAATTTGATCGAAAATATTGATCGGGAAAAAATTATAATATTTTTAATCGGAAAGTCCGCACATTGGGCAGAACTTGGGGAACAACCTAGTTTAGCCATGACTATGTTAGCAGTCATTCTTGAGTATTCTTGAGTTATTTTCACTTTCGCTCATCTGCCATGTTTCACTTTTGATGGCATTCATGTGGATATCTAAATGTGTCTACGCAGCTGTGGATACGTTACGCATACTTTGTCGTGTCTCTAAAGCGAAACGGGATAGTCTTTAAGAGCTGGGAACATGCTTTTACTATTTACTTCTTTCACTTCTTACTTTCAAGAAAAGGCAAAGATCAGGACTCGGCACGAGCTGGCACCAGGAAAATTTCGAAACGAAGTCCCGTTTGATCTTGTAAATTTCGCACGAAGTCCCCCTTGACCAGTTTCAAAGACATGTCATTATTTTTGATTCTGTAAAAGTATGTAGTAGGGTTTTCATGCATGCTGATTTCATGGAACCACTTTTCACAAATTTCTGAGCTTTTTATGTGGTTGAATCACATCTTGAGAAGCAGAAAACGATTTTTCGATTGCGGAGCAGATTGAGTAATTTTAAAATTGCTATAAAACGCTGAAAAGAAAACATTATGAAAATGTTTCTTCTCTGTATGTAAACTTTTACAGTATAGATACATTTTATGTAAAAAGTATGAAAATTATGTGAGCAAAATGTCGGTGCCAGCTCAGCTGGCACCCAGCTGGCACGGTGCCAGCTAATTCAGAAAAAAGTTCGGCACAGTTTTCATTCACATAAGTTTTCATAAATTTTTGGGCTATGGTTCCGGTCCACCAATGCGCATGCACACACAAATTTGGTGTCATACTATTGCATTTTGGCTGAGAACGAGGCATTTGTTTGTTGATGGACAGCATGCCTGTGGCATGCCGGCGGCATTCTTGCGGCACTTCTCCTCCGCCGACCCCGAAAAAACGATATCCCCTTTGCTTTCCGCCCTAAAAACGATATCCAGCTTGACCCGGTGCCAGATGTGCCGAGCCCTGAGATAAGTCAAAGATACACAATTTTCCTATCTGAAGTGACAAATGCAAATATTTGCATACTTGCGTTACCCCCTACTTTTGTCATAAGAAAAATCATGCCTCACATTTCCACCAAGGCGACCGACGCATTCACCCGGTTTGTCTGAATAAGCTGCAGCAGCCAGAGGGAGCATTTTATTGCGAGCGAAGTTATCGGAAAAGGAGTCGGCTTGGGACTGAGCTCCGACCACCACAAGCGAAAGCGTAGCAATCAACCCCAACATCCTGAAACTTTCAATGAATGAACATCTGTTTGAATAAATTTGGCTAGTTTTCAAAATACATTTTGATATTAAATAATACGCCTTTGTGGATCTAATTTCAAAGCAAGTTCTCTTTTCCCTCATTCCAGCCTGAGTTATTCTATGGACGAAGTACCAACCCTTTCAATATAGTCAATCTATGTTTATTTTTTACTTTTTTGCCTCCATAAATATTGTAAACGTAAAACAAAACAGCAAACAACATTTAAAACATGCATATTTTTTTTGCTAAAGAGGAGTCATCCTACAATATTATTGGTCACTGTGTGCGCAAGCTTTCCAGCTTTTTTTCTTGTTCCCTAAATTTCAAGAAGCATCTTTCAGCAACTAGAGAGCATTTGCGAACAGCTGCCGCACAATTGCAAATTGTTCATTGGGATCTGGGGAAGGTTTCCGGAAACTCACATGTTGTCCCAGATCGCTACAGCCAGATAAAACTATCTTTTTTTGGAGATTCAAATGAAGTCATGAAAAATATCTGCTAAAAGTAGCTTATTTAGCTCTACTTCTCAAACATATGGGGTGTCGAAATTGCACGAAACTACTTATGCTACAACAAGGGAATATTCAGAAGTCGAAATGGCCAATTCAAACAAGCTGCATACCATGATGCAGCATAGAATGGTGATTTCAAATTTGCCTTCCGTATCTGCAGAGCGCCTTTGTAGGCGAAGTCATGAACATACTGCTAAAAAATGAACACAAAAATTGCCAAATTAAGCACATTATTGCCCTTTCAACTTACCTCTAGATGCAGGCCATGTGAAATGACTTAGTTGCATATTTTGGTCCAACACTGAGCCGAAAATGGCTCTGTACGGCCAAGTTTGACCTTTACACGCACGATTTCTTAGCAAAATAATGACATTTAACGGCTTAAAATTTCATCCACAAAAGCGCTCTGCAGATAAGGAGAGCAGATTTAGAGTCAGCGTTTTATGCTGCATCTAATGGTATGTAGCTTGCTCGAATTGGCCACTTCGATTTCTGATCATTCCCTTGTAAGATAAATATTTTCATCTCTGTTGCAATTTTGACATATTTTAACCAACCATTTATCGCACTTTAATAACGGTTAATATTTTACCTGACCTTTGATTCTTCTGACAACAAGCCTTTGATTATGTAGGCACGTCTTTAAGTGCCGCTTTGGTTTTGGAAAAAAAACTTTTGCACGACTTATTTGAAGTAAGATTTCCTTTGCTGATGCTAAGAAAAATTTGCGAGCCTTCTTTGGTAGAAAAAATCTTCCCATATGGTTGCGAATTATCCACTCCTTCGACATCAAAAACCATCAAACGCTTTGCGGATGAAAGCAAAAGCTTTTTTCTACAAAGACCTAAGAAATATTTGTAGCAATCTAAGCGAGCGCGAACAATCTTTCTCGCATAATGAAGTTATCAGAAGTTTCCGAGAGTCTTTTTCAAAGTAGTGCTGACTTTTGTTTTGTGGAAAAGCAGAAAAAATGTGAGATTTTTATAGCCAAGAAGAAGATTTTTTTGTTACGTAGGCAAACAGGAGTTTTGTGTAAATTATACATAACGTTTGACACCCATTATGATTAAAATGATGTCTTAAAAAGTTTTTTGCTTTACATAACTTCAGAAAAATTGTCGCCAGAATCCAGTGGAGGGCGAAAAAAACAAATGTCCTGAAATTAAAAAAAAACAAAAGTCTGTGAAACTCCCTACAATCTCATATTCAGGTGAGCACTTTTGTCGCAAAAGAAGAGTTACGAGTTCTGCACTGTCCAAAAATATTTTCAATCGTCCAAAGTTTCTCATAAGGACCAGTAAATGCAGTTTGCATCCTGCAGTGAGAATGAATCTTTTCAATCTTGTTGTGCTAGAAATCAAAAAGTTTTAGTAACTTAAGATCCTCTCATGGGTAGGATAAGACCAGTCAACTGAAAGTGTAAAACTATTTTTTGAATTGCTATTGCAGAAGCTGGCTTTTGTTGGAACTTGGGAAATGCAAGGAAAGAAAACTTTTTGGGTGAATGTCGGATCTAGCTGCAGCTGGTTTATATACTGTGTTTGTAAGCCCTGAGTTTGGTCTTTTCGACAATAACTTTTGTGACTTGCTCAAAAAGTTTGGATTATGACGTCCGTGTGCTTCAGTTTCAGAAAACTTTAGGTTAAGCTACTTATAAATGGTTTAGAAATCTTCTCACTTTATTTCGCCAAATTGTCAAGTTAATAATTTAATAAGTTTGAGATAGAAATCCGATTGGTTTCTTGCATCATGTGATATAATCTTGGTTTGTTTAAACCGTGTCTTAATCTTGGTTTGTTCGAAATCACCTAAATTATTGAACTTTTGCTACAATATTCAGGTAAATCATATATAGTATACCTATAGTGTTCTTAAATGTTTCTATCATAAGGAGACCAACCTTTTGAAATAAAAAGATTGGATAAGTGAAGTACGTCTTTGAGTGTCTAACGATTATCAAATCCTTAGCCTTTAAAAAGTGTAGTACAGCAAAAGATGAACAAGTGTTCGGCACAATATTACTAACAAAGATGAACAAGTTTTAGTTTGCAACATCTTTAATCTATCACGTGTCACTAGAAACGAAAATTCGAGATTCTTGTTTCTAGCGGCACGGAAGTGAAAGGTTGAAAGCGGTACCTATAGTTGCACATTTGAGGAACATTGAAAACCATACATTAATCATTTGACTTTTCCAGTCAGAGAGTCTGTCAAAGTTCCCATGCAGAATCTCGCAAACATCAGACGAAAATGGCCGGAGAACGAATGGCAGCGCGCTTTCTCAATGGTCATCAACTCAACAGCGAATTCGGAGCTATGCAATCTTTTAAATAAAAACACGGTCCTTTAGCTTAACAAATCTCTTAAACTGTCACCTGCTAAGTCTGAAGTCTTTTGGTGAAAAATTGATTTGAATATTCACGAGATTACCTTAAAGGCAGCGATTCGGCAGAATGACAACTTTGGGATAACTATTGTTCTTGGCTCCCCTGGATGAGCTAAGTCCAAGGCTGTGCTTTGCAGCTTTGGAAAACTATCAATAACCCGTTTTTTCCAGACCTGAAAAGTGCTATTTGGGCGGGTCACGAAGTAGCTGGTCGAGCCGATAATCCAATTGCCGCCGAGATGTGTACGGTGTCTCCACAATCGCGCTCTAGAGGGCATGTATACGCCGCCGCCCAATAGCACTTTTCACGTCTGGAAAAGCTAGTTATGGATATCTTTTGAAGCTGCAAAGCTTGTGCTTTGCAGCTTCAAAGACTTAGCTCATCCAGAAGAATCGAGAACGGACAAACCAAAATATGTCATTTCGCCGAGTCGCTGCCTTTGAAGGCAATGTTCCGGAAAAATATTGATTTCTTGTCTTTCGGAGGCTTCTCGCATGCCTTACCCATACCTGGGCTTTGCGCGCTTGAAAATGGCCACAATGGGGAAGTGGATTTTAGGCTTTCTAGAAGCGCTTTTCTCGCTCCACACTTTACTGATAGATTAGGTGTGGACCTGCCATTGCAATGCCGTAAAATCCAAGTACCCATCATTTTGCAGGAACGCTGCCTTTGAGTTGCACCAACATGGTCCCTATATTCATTTTTGTTTAGATCTACTTTAATATAGTAGGGTTAGCTCATGTAACCCCCTTCTAAGCTTTTTTTAGGAATTCGAAAGGCTTTTGAAACGTTTTAAACACTAAAATGGCTCTGAAATGGCTATCTAATGTCCATGTAGCAATAAAGATCGGCCTCTTGACAAACGCCCAAAATGGCAAGTAAACTTTGGGAAATGCATGTTCACTGCCTGCCATAACTTTATATCCTCACGGTGAGACGCTACTGTGAGAATACGACACTCGTGATCAGCGGATCAGGCAACCCCCACAGAAGAATCCAGCAATCTGTATTTCTTCAATATTTCTCTCCTTCCAGGTGTATTCGCTTCCAAGGGATAATATCTATCAGAAATCTCCGTAAGCGTTGGCATCTCCATTTTCAACACTTTCTAGACTACTGCTCATAAAACATTCACCCCCTTCCTGTCCACGTCTGAGCCCTCAGTAGCCCCCCTGAAAGTGTTTCGAGAAAGTTTTATGATGCTCAAAGAAAGGAAGGATAATACAGATTAGGAGCATGTCCACTTCAGACTAGATTATATCTGTGAGCAAAATCTCGAGAGAATCGTTTTTGTGTTTCCCCTGATTTCACAATTCAAGCAGCTTTTTGGTAAAAAATAGAGAACCTTGGTCTGACCGAAAACTTTGCTAGTGTAGGTCTTGTGGACAACATTTTACGAAATCAAAGTCGTTTCACTGTAGCATCTTACACAGAATCACTGTGTAGAGGATAGAGCTGAATTGCGAAAGTCCAAAATGCGACGCTTTTTTATCGCTGAACTTAAGTGTTCATTGCCCGCTATAACAAAATTCTGATGTATAGTCGGATTGTATTAACCAAAAGGTGAAAGTCTCATAGTCTTGTCTAAGATTAAGATTGCGATGCTTCAGATTATATGCACTATCTTTCTTGCAATTTGACTTATATTAATGCCAACTAATCATTGGGTACTTATCCAATGATTAGTTGGCATTGAATCCACCCCACTGAATTTTTTTGTTCGCATTATCTAGTTATTTCAGATTATTCTCCAGCAACAATCCTTTGACTTTCATACATATAAAAAAAATTCCTTGGACTTTCATCTCTATAGAAGTAATCAGATGAACATTCCGATAGTAATAAAATATAGGTCACTAGCTGGCTTACCCGGCTCCGCCGTATGTTCCGAATAGAAAATTCCATTTCTGAACCGATCGGGACCAAACTTAGCACACATACACTTCGGGCCCCGGCGGGTGTCATAAGCTACTTTTCGTCATCGATCGATATCGATTTTATCGATTTTTTGCAAAATTTGAGCTACGGGGATGGGAGTTGGTACAGGGGGGGGGGGAGTAATCGAGCATGCTGATCACCCCCGTGGGGG